TGTAATCTCATAGCACTCATCCACCTACACAGTACCCTTTTACAGCTTGGACTGATTATGATTTTCTCAGGTTACACAGTTGTGTTTGCAGTTTTTGACCAATGTGAATATGTTGTCCAAACAAGTGTTTTTTTTTTGTTTGTTTTTTTAGAGTAACCATTGTTACACATTATTTTAAGTTATTGCAGATGTATTGTCCATTAAAGACAGCTAGAAGACCACTAGATTTTGTGAGTTTGTACAACGCATTCTCACCCCAAGGCGTGACCTTTGACCATGCTTCAATATTTGACGTTTTAGGCGCCCTTTAGCGTCACTTACATGACGCGATCCTACGGCGTCATCTAACTGACGCTAAAGGAAAGAGTCAGTTAGAGGACGCGGTTAGGTTTAGGTGTGGGGTGGGGGTAGGGTACACGCGATCCTAGGGCGTCATCTAACTGACGCTAAAGGGCGCCTAAAGCGTCAGATATTGAAGCATGTCCAAATGCTTCCCAAGGCGTCAGTTAAGTGACGCCTTGGGGGTGAGAATGGGCTGGTTTGTAATGTTAAAAAGTTCCATAAACCATCAGACGAATTTATATCCATTCCAGGTGACAAGAACAGATTTAACTGGAAAACTGGCATAGTAGCAGGTCTAACAAGTTGCGTTTAGTCTTTAAAGCTACGTTTATTATTATGAATGCAATTTATTAATCATTCTAAGATTGTAACTGATTATTTATTATTCTTTACACAAGCTTTACACATAGGCCATGATTTTAAGGCCAGCCAAGTAGTTTGTTGAGGGTTGTTTTTTTAGGGAAGGACTACATGCCTGCGCACATATTCAAACGCGCTATAGATTGAACTCTTAATAACGCATGTGCACACCATCAGCGTTCTCACAGGTTTGCGTTTTTAAAGTTTGCGTAGAGAGAACTGATAAGATAATCTGTATCAAGATAATCAGGACTTCACCTAGGATTGTCGGAAGGGGAGAAATCGGTCCAGAATTGCCTTGAATATCTTGTAGTGTGTACGATGCAAGACATGAACCGCGAGTTTTCTATTGAAAACTCTCATTAGAGAGTTAAACATGTGGAGCTTCCCAAAGCGAATGAATCACAGTGAATGTATCCTGCTTCCTCGCTCCAAACTCCAAGCCAAACTCGCTCCTGATTCTCTAAGAGAATAAAGCAAGAACAGAGCTTTCTACTGCGAAAGCATCACAATGACCGCATCCAGCTATTTTAAAATTTGAACACGCTTCAACGGATTCTTTTACGCGTGCATACAAACAAAGTGGCTCCTGAAGACAAAAAAGCTGATGACGTGTCTTGCACCTTCGTGTCTTGCGCTACTCACAGGCTTTAATCTTGTGACGTCATGTACTGCCGTCGGCCAGTAAATTGTCATCTGTTACACGTATTTAGACACCGGACAAACTGTGGGTGTTTCCCATCAACTCCAAGACGCATCTTTGAAGTTCCACTTCGAAAGAAATATTTAACGCTTTCATAGTTACAAAAACAAAAATGTAAAAGTTAAACACTTAGAGTAAAACAACCTCTTTTAAACTTTGGGCATAAGAGCATAAATTTAGCTATTTGATAAGCTTGTAGCCTATTTGACAAGCACACGTAAATAATATTTTTACATAATTCCCGTAATATTTTTTGGGATATGGCATAAGCATATTGTTTGTATTCCAAAATAAGCAGAACACAAAACTGTCTCTGCTCATCTCAGTGTTTACTTTGGCCAAAAGGACCAGTTTTGACAGAAGCACTATTGTAGGTTGTGTCAGCATTGGCTGCTTCCAGAACCTCTTTTAAAACTCATAAATATTCAGACTGATTTATATGGATCTGATTTAGCATTTATCTTGACATGATTACCAAAAATGATATTTTATATACTTACAAGCTGCTGGTCATGTTTTCCCTTGAATACAATAAGACAAATCAAGGGAGTCACCATGACACACAGGGCAGCTGTGACCACAGTAAATCGTCAACAGATGCAGCGACTAGACTTGTCATTTGTCTTGCTGAGAAGAATAAAATAGACACGTGCATAATATTCCCTCATTAACCAGTCAACACATAGCCATAGGTCTGTATTTGAACCTCAGGCACAAAGTTGCTTTGCCCAGTGAAGAAAACACAAAACATTAGGGGAAAACCAAATAAAGAGATAATGCATACTTTTTTTAGATGGGTGACAGAATTCTGGAAGAATAATCGTTTGGAGGATTCCAATCAGTTTCAGATTTGACCGTGTCACTATGATGATCACTATATGTGTGTCATATGTCACTACATCACATGAAGCAAAGAAAAGTGAAAATGCTAAAATTATTTACTTGATTATTGTATTTTTTTGTGATTACTTACTGTTACAGTTTTGTTTACATTGTTGTTGATTTTGTAGCAAATATAGTAACTTTTTGACTTGTAATTTTATAATGTGTTTTTTTATTCTTCTCAAAATTATTGGTCATACGTTCACAGTCAAAGTTTAAGCTATTGATATTTTTATTCCATTTGTGTAATTTTATTTTTCTCCAACAGCTCATATACCTATAGGATTTTACATATTTTCTTCAACAATTATATGCATATACAGTATAATGGTGCATAAATCAAAATCATAATTAAAAATGGTAAATAATTAATCAACTTCACAGTGAATTCCAAGTGAGGGGGCTTAGTGCGTTCCGTCTAAACCTTATGTTAGCAATGACGCACATCCGAGTGAACGAGACAGAGGGAAGTTAGTGAAAGCCATAAAAAATTGGAATGGAGAATGCAAATTTGGAATGCAGAACAAGTGTTGAGGTCTATGTGAGTTCCATAAACATCCCTTGTCTTGACTGTTTATGTGTGATGTTATGGTTCGTTTAAGACGATAATCCCTTTACTGTCTATACACAAGTAGGCTACATTTAAAATTAAACTCATTATAGACCTCTGCATAATTAAAATACAGCTTACTTAGAAGTTCCCTCAGAATTGGTCTACAGTGACGTGTTGTTGTTACTAGTGTTATTATTTTTAAATGTAATAATTATTGTTATTAATGCTGTTATTCTTCAGTATTTCCAGATGTACAGTAGGCTAAATTTCAGACATATTCGCTTTTATTAAAACCTATAGGTTAGTTGAGTGAAATCATTACATTTGCATTCATAGTGTGCTGTGACATTTTTTAGTAAATATTTGTCTGTATATGTCATAGAATAATTTTAACTCTCAGATATGCATTCTGCTTTGTCTGACATCAGTTATTCAAATATCCAACTGAATTGTCAAAATTGTATTTTAATTAGAATAGTTGACTTACTACATAAATGATACTTAAAAATATATAAATATTGATAAGAATATTATATCAAAAGTAATTTATACATTCTGTAAAAGTTTAACTGTAGGGGCTTCTTGAACCAGGTAGGGGGTTACACGACCAGAAGTGATATAGCCTCTTTGAATAATTGTACATTTTGTTCTATAACAACTACTAAGCAGATGTGTTTATTTATTTTATAATAATACATTGGCATGGGATGGCTGATGCATCATCATGCTAAACTATACATGCCACATGCACATATAGGCTATAAATATATGGACTTTATCCTTTCGTTTTAAATGTGCATATTATGTATAGCCACTGTACAACTGCCTGTGTATAGATCTAAAATAACTATTCTACGTCCGACGTCGTTAAAATTGTTGAAAATCGTCGTGTGGATTCGACATGAGATGTCGCCTCACTCGATACTCAAACCATGCTGTTTGTGTCAGAATGGCAGTTTGCGTTACCGCATGCGGGAAACCGCACTCATTCCATGGCTCTGAAAAAATGCTGGAAATATTCGGCAAGTTATAACCCGTAGAAGAAGCTTGTCATCTCCAAAAATTATTAGCCTGACATTATCAAATCTGTGGACATTAACACACCGCTTTGGACAAACCTATACGAGAAAAATAGTATAAAACTGAGATAGCCTAAATCAAGAAAGCAGCAACAACAACTGTATAAAACTAGGAGGTGGTGGTGTGACGTCACCCCAAACGGGGATTGTAGGCCTACACTTTGCTGAAAATAATAATAATAACAATAAATAAATAAATAAGAGTAGCCTACATATGCTCACTACTCAGATGCCCTCAGTAATAACAAATAAATAATGCAATAAAAGGTTATCATTTGCAGTTTATCATTATCATATGCAGTTTAGCATATACAATCTGTTGTATTTTCTATTTTTTTCTATTTCTTTTTGTGTTGAGAGTTCCTTCTTTTCTTTGTATATTGTCTTTTTTATACCATTTTGTTGTTTTCAGATTTTGTATTAATTTTTTAATGTATTTTTTAAAGTAGCCTAGGCTACACTGGCTGCAGCATGCAGATCGGGACGGGGCTGCACATGTCACCTTTTTGTGTAGAAAAAGTCTGATATTATGCTTTGCAATGTAGTGAAGAAAATGAAAGCTTCACACACACACACACATAAATACATAAACACATTGTGTCATTTAGTTATCATACAACAGCATGACCAAAAACACCTGTAGGCTAACTAAGTGTGTCTTGTCATGTTACTGATTCATTTCCTTTCTCATAATATGAAATAATCAAAATATCATAGGTCATTTAATTGAATTCATAATGTATCCACCTGAAGACCTGACCCTCCTGCACTGGATAATAATTTTTGTGGGGTCATTTGTGCGTCAGCCTAAAAAACAGCTTATTTAGCAAAACAGTAATTTCAGGCACATTGCAAGTTACAGGCTAATTACTTTTCCACTTCTGCGCATTATAATGAAGGCCTTGTGAAACTGCACAGCTTTGGTTGTTTTCAATGACATGTAGGCTACTCCTTCCTACCAACTACAAACACATTTTCTATCATGTATCCCTATGAAAGACGATGGAAGCAATCAGACTATGTATGGGGCGGGGCGATACGTGAAGCCCCGCCCCGATCTGCAGGCTGCAGCCAGGACCTTCTCAATGATTCTCCCGACAACAAACAAGAGAGATTATTGCAGTTTTGCTCTCTCGCGAGTCACAGGTGTGAGCTATTTAGCCTACTTTAAAATTTTGTTGAAGCCATTTATTAGGCAACACTAGGTAAGCATCATGCTTTAATATGATTATCTTATTGTGAATGCAACTTGTGAATGCAACTTTTAGGAGTCATTAAATATAACTTTTGAATCTCTTTAAATCTCAAATGTATGAATATTTTACAGTCATTTGAGCACCTTTTTATAGTTATCAACTGTCTCTGTTACAACAGAGATCAAAGCAAAACTTAAAGATATGTTGGTCTATCGTTTGCATTGTTCATAGTCTATGTTTTAAAAGTAAATGGTCTATTGTGCTTTTATATGATAAATAAATAATTTTGTAGACAGCTAAACAAGAAATAACTGTTTCATGAATATCAGTTTTAAGTTTTTTTAAAAGGAATAGTCTTATTCTTAAAGGAAAACTGTTATGCAAAAAATGATTACTGATATGCCAAAGAATTTACAAACAGAAAAATATATATATATAGCTATCCTATATTGACATTTTTGAATGAGCTCAGTTTAATCAGTAAAATGCAGATATATTTTTAATATACTTTCCCATGTAAAATGTTATATCTGAGAAGGCAGAATAGAGAAAGTGCTTTCAGATGATGTTCTGAATGACAAGGCATTACTTTACTAGTCAAATTCTGGCCTCCAGTGGACAAAAGTAGAATTACATGTTAGTTCTATCTACATGTCGCGGTCTATCTGATGGCTTATAATTATTCACTAAATACCATATTCATTCTGTCAATCCAGGTTTGAAGGTACAATGATGGATCAATCCAATTTTTCAGTGAGCCCACTCGATTTCAACTTATCTGATGAAGAATATGATGATGATGATTATGAGGATACGCCGCTTGCAAAATCTCTTAACATCATGTCACTCATTGTCTACAGTCTGGCTTTTGTACTTGGAGTGGTGGGAAATGGCATTGTAATTTGGGTAACTGGATTCAAAATGAAAAGGACAGTCAACACGGTGTGGTTTTTGAACCTTGCTGTGGCAGATTTCCTCTTCACTGCCTTCCTCCCACTCAGCGTGGCTTATACTGCTATGGGCTTCCACTGGCCTTTTGGCCAGTTCATGTGTAAATTCAACAGCACTCTCAGTTTCCTCAACATGTTTGCCAGTGTGTACATCCTGGTCGTGATCAGCGTTGACCGCTGTGTATCTGTGGTACGTCCGATCTGGGCACAGAATCATCGGAATGTGAGACGTGCTTCTGCGGTGAGCTTTGGAGTTTGGTTATTCGCCCTGCTGTTGAGCTCACCCTACTTCGTCTTCAAGGACACTGCACCTGACCACGACAGCCCAGACAAAATCAACTGCTTCAACAACTTTGCATTTTCTGATGACTATGAGAAACCAGAGGTAGTGGCGCTCCGTACTCTACGGCATAGAGCCATGATCATAACCCGTTTCCTCATAGGCTTTGTGCTGCCTTTTGTGATCATCATTTCCTGCTATGCGGTCATCATCCATCGTCTCAGAAGAAACCGCTCAATGTCTGGCCGAACTGGACGTCCCTTCAAGATCATTGCCGCTGTGATCACTGCCTTCTTCCTGTGCTGGGCTCCGTACCATATCCTGGTGCTTATTGAGATGGTACACCACATGAGAGAGAAATTCAACCCCAGCCTGCAATATGTCGCCACTGTTGGGATTCCCATTGCGACCAGTTTGGCTTTCCTAAACAGCTGCCTGAACCCATTGCTGTATGTTTTCATGGGACAAGACTTTAAAGACAAGGTGCGGAGGTCAATCCTGAAGGTTCTGGAAACCGCTTTCACAGAGGAAATTTCACGCACAAATACCTGCACAAATTCAATGCCCACCATTCGTACTAAAGAGAACGGGAGCAAGTCCTTCTCTGATGCGGAAGTATAACCATGAAGCACTTTTTTCAAAAGGAGGACTTTACTGAGTGTCCCATGTGGATTTAGCGTCATCATAAATTAAAGTGAGACACATTAACCTGAAGAAACTGGACCAAAAGCTTTAAATGAATAAAACACTGCCTTAATTGCTGTTATGGGGAAATAATAATTTAATGCAGAATTGTTATTTACATTTGTGTCTGTACCTATACTTAACCATATTTTGGAGACAAATTTGTACCCAGACGTGAGTTAAATCTGACAGAAACTCCCAAAACCACCTTTTAAATACAATAGGTTTCCAGCGTGAAGTATACCCATGAAGTATTTGACACACATAAGTTGAACTTGGTTCTGTATGCCATATATGAGCAATTTTAAAAGTTTTTTTTTTAATGAATTGTGCATGTGATGCAAGTAGACTTTTTTGTTATTTCTTTACTGTATTGTCTGCACATATTTTTTTTATAAATCTTTTATTTTGTATTAAAAATGGTATTAAGTTTATTGGTGTAAACACTTTGACCTAGACTATGTTTTGTATCTTTATTGCAGATACAATTGTATGACTTATATTAGTTTAAATGGAAGTTTATTAGGCAATATGTGATACATTTTCCCCCTGCTAATTTCAAACCACTATGCAAAAACTGCTAGCTAAACATTGGCTGACATGGATGTGCGCCTTATGTAAAAAGTGTCACAGCCATTCCTTTACATAATAAGAATATAACTAGAATTTTCTTGACTAGGGCATAAAAAAGAAAGACTGACAGAGGTGTCTCTGCCAGTGGTTTAAATAAAGTGACCTCAAAATGTGACCTCATGCGCATTCTCGTCTACTTGGGCTTACATCCATACGGCCATTAGTAAGCAGCGCCAATCGCTAGCAGTAGTGTTTTAAATGGTCTTCAAATGTGGACCAGCCTCCAGCACAATCCAGATAAGATCCAAGAAAATCCAAGAAATTTCAGAACTTCCGCAATGCTCCTTTAAAAGATGTACAAAGATGTTCTTTAATCTGGTACATTGAAGTAGTGTTTATTGTTGTAATTACTTGTAAGTAAACCGTTTTTCTAGTATACGTGTGTCTAGTAGATTCATTTACACACAGAGACATGTTTTTTTTTTGTTTTTCACGTTTATGTTATTTAATTAGATGGGCCTATACATTGTAGTAGCCTAGTGTTATTATTTGTTGTACTGTTAAGTAAGTTTGTTCTGGTTGACAAATTTAAACACACACACACACAAGCCAAGAGAGATAGAGAAATTGTTCTCATATGGTATGGCATACATTTTTACTTTCTAATAGTTACAACTTACCCCAGCATGTGTTACAACCTACCCTGGTACTGGGTAGGTGTAACAAAAAGGAAAACACATCAACTCACAAGGTCTGTAAAATTCTTGTAGAGGGTTGAATTTGTTCCATTTGTAGTAAAGTTTGAGAACTCAAGCTAAAAAAAAATCAGCGAGTTACAGGTGCTGAAGCAAAATGTGCTTATTTTTTATTGACATGGAAGATTATAGCAAAATAACTATGATCTAACAACAGTTGTTAGCTGAATACATTAATGTAGCAAAGTATGTTGTTGTGGAAAGAAAGAAGCAGGAACAGCCAAATGTGTAACAGACTTTAATAATCATAAAATAAACAAATACAAAACGAAAGAAGGCGGCAGTCCCTCACTGACGACGGAAGACTGCCACCACAAATAAAAACATAACAAATAGTCCTCGTCCTTCACTATCGTCGCTCCTTCGCTTACGCTTCTGAAGCTCCTTCGCGAGAGTTACGAGACCAGTGCTCATCAGTAGTCATGTCACCGGCCTCACGCCATTATCTCGACTGAGATAACACTGAGACAAATCAGACACAATTATTTGGTATATGTATAGTGTACCAAGCAATCTGTGGTCCCATCCCCCAATGAGGGCAAGAATGTCTTAGAAACTATCCTGTTACTAAGAACCATGACTACGATTAGATACGTTGGTTTTATTTCTATTAAGAATGTGGTCAGAGCCCCTGCCATTATAGAACAGACTTCCCTGCATTCATTTATCGGCGAACTGATCTATAAATGAACACACATCCCAGAACATTTTGTGAATGATTTACACTTGTGTACTGAGGGCATCTTGTGTGTCTTGTGTAATGTCTTTTAATTCTATTATTTAGTTGATGCTTTATATTTTACAATAGAATCAATAGTCACCTATACCATGTTTGGTCTCTATAAATTGGTACTTTTAAGATCGAAATGATCGTGTATATGATATCTTGATAGCTACGCAACATTTGTATTACAAGAATCTTTCATAGTTTCTTTTCTTAATCACCCAATGAAATTACACATTCAAATGCCCTGCTAGAAAACAATGGGTCGTAAAAACTCCCTACAAAAGGGACAACTTAGTATTGGCTCACACACCTCCAGAGGGTGTGACATCTTCACGCTTAAAAAAAATCACTGACCACAGCTGTGACCACAGCCTGCTATGCTTTCACTCTCCCAACAGTGTCAGACTTTATTTTCTTCAATCTAACTCACTGATCATCACTGAATGGGCAACCAACTCTTCCGACTTCCTCACTGCTTGGTTGCCTATGTGGACTCTCTGGCCCAGGGCCGGCATCACAATCAGCATGTGATCAGCCGTGTGCTCATGGAGAGAGAGAAAACCTTCATTCAGAACTGAACCGAGTTCCCGTAGTTCCATTTCCCGCTTCCGATTCCATTCTGTCACTCACTCACCCTTTTACCCATGCATAAATGTATGTGTTTATATTATTTATGTTTGTGATTTACTTAATAAAACTTGTGCACAAATGTATTTGGTTCTGATTCTCTTCTTGAAACAAAGTTTACTTTATGATTTAGATTTTGACTACAGGCTCTTAGTACTGTACAGTAAGAAAGACATTTCCCTTCCCCGGTAATGAATATTTTTTAGAACTGATAAACAGAGTGTTCATGATGAACAGGGTTGATTGTAATATATCGACGCATCTAACTCTACTCCTTCTTGTTCAGTTCTCGCGCATGTGTCATGGAAATCTTTTTTCATTTTGCTTTTAACATTGATGGCCCTGGGCCTACCAATTAAACAGACCCTCAAGATCATCTTGAATTACACTTTGATCAAGATAGAATATTAGGCTATCTCACTGCTAAAAAAAGCTATGCCCTGTACTACCTGTCCAGATAGATGACAATAATCAATTTGGCTGTTTTTTTTTTTTATAGCTGCATAGCCTAATTATCTATAAAAAAATTATTTACTGCACACTGCAGGTTTCCCAAAGTAGTCTATTTCATTCCAATTATCCAACCCTCACAAGACAGCATATGCAAGAAAAGATTTGAGCTTTCACAGAAAATAAAAGCTCACGTTACAAAATCATCTTAAAGTGCACCAGGACAGACAAACAAATGTGCTACAGTACATAATGCAGAGCCAAGTTAAATGTAAATAAAAAAATGATTTGGATAACATGATTTAAGTAGGCCTATTACATGCATGCACCCAATATGCAACAACAACGATTTATATACATTAAGTGCTCCCAGAGTCCCAGTCACATGGCGCTCTTTGCTCCAGTCCTGTAGGAGGCAGTAATGCAGCAAAGCCAACCTCACGCGAAGAAGGCGGCGAAAAGGAAGCTTTCGTTTATTCTTTCCCACCCGCTTCTGTTGCCTCTTTCTCAAGGATTTAGACCTCTTTGGGATATACAAACAAATAATCTTGTGGACTGCTCAAAAAACGAAACAAATGGACGATAAATATTAAATTCACAAAGGAGCTCACTACAGCTACACACAAAACAAAAAGGAAACGGAAAGTTGCTAACGTTACTTGCGTTTGAACGTCTTCGGAGTGACATCGACGAGGTAATTTGCGGAAACACGTGTTTGTTTTTTTATGTGTAGATACTGTCTTATGAAGACATGAGATTGTTTTTCTAAATTACGCGTAAACAATAGCTTTGGTTTTACTTATGTAACATATACCTACAATTAAATGAACTTTGCTAACGTAGCGTGTTGTTTGGGCTTGTAATGTGGCGTACGGTGTTGCGTCTTTTTGTTTGGTTTGAGTCGTAAATGTTCATATAATCTCTGTTCTTAGATGTGTACATTTACCGCCAATTCACTTTTGATTTTTTTTAAAGATAAAATTAATGTTCAGTTACATGGTTTAATTTCAAATCGATAAGCTGTATGGTCTCTAGCCTCATTTAGAGTCCACAATGCCTTAACCCTTTATATAAAATGAACCTTAAATTAGAAATAACTTGTTGCTGCTCATATAATGTAGTTAGCTGTTTGCAAAATATAAATTCGAAACTAAGTAACTAACGTTACACGTTTGGTCAAAATTGAGTAATGTCCGAAGTTGAAACTAATATCTCCTGCTGTGACGGAAGGGTTTAACGTTAACTCAAATTAGGAAAAAATACAATGTTAAAAACTTTAAAGTGTTTTTTATATATATATATCTGTGTTCTAGATAAGCTAACGTTATATGTTACTTTGGTAGGACAACCTAGGTCAGTAGAGTCACTTGCCACGAGTAGCCTATATTGAAATCATCTTGTGAACATTTTCTCTCGGTAATATTTGTTTTAATTTAAATGTACCAACGTGCTTATGAAATTGCTTTGAATAAAATAGCCTGCTAAACAAATTTAAGGTTAATTTATTTTTCAGCATCTGTCTGTGTTGTGTAACTATCATTGTTTTAGCTCTTGTTTTAGCCATCTGGTCTGTACATGAAATTCTTTTTAAGGCATGTAGGAAGTCACAATTTATTTTAAAGTATTTTAGAGTAAGGTATTTTCTCAGACCCTTGTTCTGTGTTCTATCATAAACCTGTACAAAGTTGTGTTACCAGCTTTAATACAATTTTTGTGTTTTGTCTTTTTTCTTTAGAAGTGCTGTGTTGTCTTGTCTTTGGGTTTCATCCTGGCTGTAAAAGAGTTGAGTGGTCGCTTTTAAAACATCAGGATTGCAGTAAGTAAAAGTTGAAGTCCTGAGTACTTGTGTACAATTTATAAAACATTTTATATAAATAAAAAATGTATTTGAAGAGATTCTGCTTTACAGTGCACCTGGCTTGTAAACTCATTCATCACACATTCAAATCAGAAATGTAACAAGAAAGTAGCCTAAACAAAACAAAATAATTATTTTCTAAACCATAAACCCAAATAACATCTGAATTTAAAGTTGTCTCCAATATTCTTGTCACAATTCTAAAATTCACAATTCTCTTTAAAAGTTATTCATTTTTTCTCATATTTATGCATGGTATTACAACCATCTGTTTTTTAAATAAAGCAAACCATAAAAGTTTAGTGATTAACTTTGCACCATTCACAACAGACTTGCTTTCTTCAGGTCTTAAAAAGACTTAAATTTGATATTAAAAGAAGTGCAGATACCCTGCTTTTCCCCTTAAAATGCTTTGTGAATTACTTTCAGATAAAAAAATTTATGGGACCTAAAATTAGGAGCAACTTTTAGCCTTTGGCCGTGTGTCCACCAAAGCATTTTTAGCCAGCTTGAGAGCATTTTGGCAGTGCAAAGTTTTTTTTTCTGTGTGTTTCGTTGCTATGATACAGAATATCAGCAGCACAGTTTACTTGTAACTGATTTCGCAGATAATTTGTTTCATACTAAAAATATTTTTCATCCACGTTATTCGGTTAGCTCTGCTGGTTGATGTCGCTGTACAGAAAGAATCTTGTAACAGTTGGTCTGTGTGGTATTAGTCCCGCCCCTCCTCCACTGTGATTGGATGGATGGGTAAAAAGTGACCGAGATGAGCACTGCGTTTTATCCAAAGTTGAACGTGTTTCAACTCTCGGTGACCAGTAAAAAACGCCCAGAAAAAAAAACACTCAGCACCTCGTTACGCTGGTGGCGTTTTAAAAATGTGGCACTCCCATTGAAAACATACGCCAGGCACGTGGAAAACCGCTTTGGTGGACACACGGCCTTACTCTTTTGTGGCATATATGGCCCCTGGTTTGTTAATCTGATTTTTCTTAGTCTCTTAAACTGTGTAAGGAAAAGTTTTTGCATTAAAATATGGTTCAGAAACTTCTGATTTCTGCTTACTGAAAAACCCTGTAATAAGCCATTGTGTAAATGGGGCCATTGACTCTCCCTCTTGATAGTCTAACTTTATAATCCCTGATAGTCTTGTTTTGCCATGTTTAAAACTGGTATTAAGTTGTGAATGGTCAATTGTATCACAAGTAGGCGAGGAAGACACATTTCCATTTACACCTGGTGTTTTAGTTGTCTTTTGTCCACTTTTTACAGATTTCTTTGATAGGAGGGTCTATGGGTGGGTAAATGTATGGGATTTCATAGATCTTTTGATCTATGGACGAAGTAAGTTTGAACAATTTATTTATGAATGTGAAAGGAGATGACGGAGAAATAAAGGCCATGGAGAGCATCAACTTTTTGCTATTGTGCCTGGTACGTTTTTCGTCTTCAAACCAAACTTAAAACTTCAGCTGACAGTTCAAATCCGTCTGGCTAATGTGTTTCTCAGAATGTTTTTGAATTAGATTACATTACATTTACATACATTACATAAATTACATTCTCAGTCTTGTGACAAACCAAAACAAAAATGTTTCGAAAGATGGTCTGTTTTACCATTTTATAAGTATAGTGCAGAATTGTGACAAGAATATTGGAGACAAATTGTATCTCACATAGGGCTGTGCTATATAGATAAAAGATGTATCATGATATAACATTTCATATCGTTTGGTATAGATAATTATTGAAATTTTTTTATAACCTTTTTTCTTTTACTTTCTTTTTTTAAAGACAACTTTGAAAAGTTTGCATTTAAAGCACTGTTTTTTTTTTATTTGTCTACATTGTTAAAGGTTAGTTCACCCAAAAAAGACAGTTCTGTCAGTAATTACTCACCCTCATGTTGTTCCAATGTAACTGCCTGGTTCAAGGACGATTGGACTCTTTAACTGATGATTCCCACGCTTTATTGTAATGGCCGTCATCACACATAAAGGCACCGTTGAACACCATGTTGAGAATCTACATAAGCTTGTACACTAAAGAAAACAAAATACCGAAAATGAATAAACATCAATCAAAACCAAACAAATAAGACTAATGACTTGCACATACAAAACAACACCAATAAGTAATCCTAATACAAATAATATAAATCAAAACAAATACATAAAAATAACAAAGACTTTACCTTGTTCTCCATTCAAACCAGGAGCTAAAACCTTATAAAAATTCCTTGCCAACCTTAAGCCTTTGCTCTCATAACCATGTATGTCTGAGTCTTATTCATACTGAAATGTTTGGACCATATGCGCATTATATCCGCTCACGCGAATGAACTTCAAAATAAAAGACCTCCATTACACACCACAGATAACTCAAAATCAAACAATTAAAGCTGCCGTCGGCAACATTTTTTTTGATCATATTCAGTGAAATCGACACTATAATCCGACAGAACAACATAAATAAAGTGGTTTTAGAAAAAACCCGAGCTTCTAACTCCATTTGGAGCGTGTTATTTGTTTAGCAAAAATCCAGCGCTCCCGTATCATCGGGTGCAATCAGCGCAGGGGGGTGTGAGACGCACATCACCCCTCGCGCACGTTACAATCACATGTATGCCTGAAGTTCGCGCAGTAAGGAAGAGTGATGGCGGAACACTAACAAACCAAGTAAGCTCATTTAGAGTATAAATGACGTTAGCAATTGCAATATATTGGTAGATTAGCCAGGACAGCATACCTCCAAATAATCCATGGTGGTGTTGAATGCTGATGAGATGGTCGCGTTCACAGAAAACCTGGTGCGCACGCACTGAGCACGAACTTTGTGGGTGGATATTCGCTGATAGTGGAGGAGGTGTTGTTGTGATATGAGTTGTAAACATTCAAAATGTTGCCAAAGTCCACTCAATCAGCCATAGTTGCCGACGGCAGCTTAAAATAACAAAAATAAATAAAAAACGTTAAAGACTATATTTTTAAGACAACAAAGTCATTAACACTCCCACCAAATTATGAGTGCAAATCTTACACCAAGTATATAAAAGCACTAATCATTTCTTTTTATCTCCTATTTTTTTTTACACATTTTTGTATTATCCTTTTTTTTTCTTTTTTTCCAATTTGACTTTAAACCAACATTAAAAATGTAGAAAAATTAAAAAATACGTCTTTCAATTTCAATAAAGAAAATAAAATTTTCAAATCAGAGGGAAAAAAAACGTAATTTCCCTCTATTAATAAAATTAGTTTTTGCACTGGTCTTTCAATTATGGATGGTTTGCTAACACGCTTCCCCTTTGCATCAATCTTTGGGTCACCTAGGTAAATCTTGGCTCTTCTTACAAGCCCGTCGTTGGAAGAAGTAATTTCCATTATTCTGTCAAGCGTCCATTCGTTCCTAGGCATTTCCTCTTCTTTGACTATAACAAGATCATCAACCTTAAGATTTCTTTTAGACACGTTCCACTTTTGTCGGGTAGCTATACTCGCAAGATACTCTTTGCGCCAGTGACTCCAGAATTGTTCCATTAAATACTGCACGTCTCCGTCTTTTCCGCTCAAATACATCTTCCTTGATGAAATTTCCTGGTGGAGGTAAAGCAGTAGTCGTTTTTTAACGTAAGCAGATGGTTTGGAGTGATTGATGCTAGACTTTGAGAATCAGTCAGGCAATCAACAGTAAGTGGCCTATTATTCACAATGGCCATTGCTTCACACAAAAAAGCTAGTTAAGAAAAGTCCTTCCCGGATAAAGTGCAAGAGTAACGTTTAGCACTGATCTTACTGTTCTAATTTGACGATCCCAAACGCCGCCAGCATGACTTGCATCCGGTGCATTCATGATGAAGTCGCAATGCTCCTCTGATAGGAAGGCTTTTACTCTTTCCACATCCATTTCTAAGTGCATCTCTCAACTCATTTCTAGCTCCCACAAAGTTACTTCCATGATCTCACCTTATCTGTTGCACAGTGCCTTTCATGGCAATAAAACAACACAAAGCATTGAAAGAATCCGCTCTCATATCAGTATCTCAATGTATACAGCACGGGAACTGAAACAAGTAAAAAGAAGACCATATCGTTTCTGAATACTTCTGCCCTGCGGAATGGGCCAAAGCAATCCATGCCAGTATATGTAAACAGAGGCGAAGAAACCACTCTTTGGGAACATCAGCCATTCTCTGTCCTTCAACAGGTCGCCTGTGCTTTCTACAAATAATACAACTCCTAATAAAGGATGTCACAATTTTATTGATCCCTGGTATCCAAAAGCTATATCTCATTAATAGTAAATCCTTTCCCTTGGTGCACAGCTTTGTTGTGAAAGTGAGCAACAAACATTTTTGTGATCTGATGATCTCTCGGGATGATTATAGGATGTTTTATAGTCTGGAAAGGTTGAACGGCAAAGTCTTACCTCCCACCCTGAGTAAACCGTCTTTATCCATAAAAGGGTCAAGAAAGTATAATGCACTGCGAGATGAGATACTTCTTCCACCTTTTATCCCTCTCAGTTCATCCTTGTAGGAACTATCTTGCAGACATATGAATTTCTGCCTTTTGCCATTCATCTCACGGTACTGAGATGGTTAGACTTTGTTAGCTCTCCTTAAAAGACGAGCTACAGCTCTGATAGCTTTCAACCAACAAGTAAACTTTGAAAGAAGATCCATCAAGCTCAGATTTTTTGTGCAATCAATATTCAAAGTACAACATGTTTTCACCTCTGGATCTCCAAGTAGAAGTTCAGGAACATGTTCTTCCAGCACAGACATTTCTCTGTCCCACAAAAACGTAGGGCCAGTGAACCAGTTTGAGGTGAATAATCCACTGTTGCTGGGTTGTACTGAGGTGTATTCTTTGCACTCGATTAGCGACAAAAGTATGTAATATACATGCCTCATTACGTATCCCAATACTACTTTGGAATCTGTCCAAAACGAGTCCTTGAACACTGCATAGTCCAGTTCTCTCTTAAGCATATTACTTATTTTGACAAACAACGGCAGCTGCCAATTCTAATCTGGGGTTTGTTGTAACTTTAAGAGGTGCAACTCTTGATTTTGCCATCACCAGTGCACAGTGAATGTCTCCTTCCTCATTTTTGAGTATTAAGTATAAACATTGGCCATATCCATGGACACTAGCATCAGAGAAGTGATGCAATTCAACTTGAATACCCTTTCCAAAACTAGCTGGTGCATATGTTAGTGGTACATCTATTTCCTGCAGATGGTTTAAACCTTGCCTCCATCGGTCCCACCTTAAATCAAGATCATTCAATAAAGGGTCATCCCATCCACTGCCACGTTTACATACATCCTGCAGTATTCCTTTTCCACTAAACAGCACTGGTGCAATAAGTCCCAGAAGATCACAAATAGAAGCAATACTAGACAAGATGCCACGTCGAGTTACTCGACATGGCATCTTGTCTAGTATTGCTTCTATTTATGATCCTCTTTTAACTGGACTTTGAATTTGAAACGGTCCGATTCTCTTTCCCATTGTATGCCAAGAGTTCTTTCAAGGGGTAACTCATCAAATGAAAAATCACAAATTTTCACATCAGAGATTTTTTTCTGAAGGGGGGATGCTGTTCAGCAGTATTTTACTGTTTGACACCAATATTTGGAGCCGTAGGGCACCTATAGCACAGCTCGTGCCTCATCTACAACTTTAATAGCTTCTTCATTTTCTACACTGATCACTCCATCATCATACTCGTAGAAATTCCTTATCACAAACTGTGAACCTAGTGGATACAACTCACTGTTTTCAGTTGCAAGATATTTTAAGCCATAATTACACATCCTGAAGATGAAGTTGCACCAAAGAGATGAACCTTCATATGGAACTCACTTGCAGGCTGACTGAAATGGCCATCCTTCCACCAAAGGAAGCCAGAAAGCCAAATCAGATTTGTTGACATGAAACTGATGATACATTTTCTCTACATCACATATAAATGCGATGGGGTGTTGACGAAATCAATTAAGATGCAATTTATACTGGTTATCAAATCTGGACCTTGAAGCAAGTAACCATCACATCTTGCAGAGCAATCAAAGACAACATGCAATTTGTCCGCCCCCCTCAGATTGACAACCTGCCGTGTGTTGCATATACCAGATTTCTCCTTCCTTGCCATCATTATGTACCTCCCCAGCATCTCATATTTGCAAGATCTCACTCATGAACTCATTATAGCATTTCTTATACAACAACCATCTTTCTTTTAAATGGTTGAGTCTAACTATAACACTTTGTTTGTTGCTTGGTAAGTTGGGCCTCACCTTAAAGGGATGGGGCATTTGATAATGACCAAGAACATTCCTCTGTATATCTTTCATTAATTTCTTGAGAAAGAGAAAATCATCCTGGGAAACCTTTGTCCTCTCTTCTTCGGTGTCTTTAAAATCACTCTCAAGAACTCGAATGACATCGCCTGGTGTGATGGAAGGAAGTTCCTTAACTGCAATGCGGTGACACAATCTACTGACTCCAGTTAAATCAGAGTGTGGTGAAGAACAACCTACTATACTCCATCCTTAATCTGTCCGAATGGCGTAGGGTTCATCTCCTCCTGCTATTACTTCTCTTGGAGTCATTGACCTTGAACAATCGTAGCCTATTAAAAGAGCAACATCACAGTCTTACAATGGAGGTATCTTGTCCACTGGTATGCAGTCTTCGGTGTATGTAGGCGGTAAATCAATATAACGCCAGATTCGTATGCCCTCACTTGGAGTCCTGACACTCTCTCACTCTGCAGGATGGTATCCTTTCCAAGCATGCTGGTGAGCTTCAATTTCTCTGGAAATGTTGTTGCCTGTAGAGCATCGCTCACTTCATTATCAATGAATGTGGTATCACTCTGAGAATCCAAAAGCGCTTAAACCATTTTCTCACAATTGGGATTTTGTTTTACAGACACCCAAACCAGTACAATCATTGAAGTATACTTATTTCGCTCTTCTCCACTCACACTGAAGGCTACTGCATTCATTGTACCATCAAGATCACTTTGAGTCTGAACTGCAGAAGATACTTTACCATTTTCACAAAATTGTCATTGTGTAAACTAGTTGGATGCTTTCTTTTGCAGGTATTGCAAGTGAGACACATTAACATCCAACCCCGTAAGACTTTCGTTCTTCTTCGGGAACATAAATTAAGATATTTTTGATTAAATCTGAGAGCTGGATCGTCCATAGATTGAAGGGATCGAAACTGGAAGGGATCAAAACTGTCCGGCCCAAAAGTTATGAAGTTATGAAGTCATTGTTAAAATAGTCAGAGGGACTACAGTGGCTCAATCTTAAGTTTATCAAATGACAAGAATTCTTCTTGTGTGCAAAGAATAAACAAAAATAACAAATTTATTCAACTATTCATTTCCTTCCCTGTGGGCTTTGAGATTTCACATAGTGAAACTATGCAAAGCTTCTAGGTTGTACATCACACGCATCACACACCGTGACCAGCATCAACCAATAGTGAGCTTGCGTGTAACGTGCAACACGGAAGCTTTGCGTAGTTTAGGGCTGGATGATTAATCGAAAGATAATCGAAACCGAAATTCAGAGCCTATAACTGACGTTAAGCCGGGATCGTTCGCCAGTGTGAAACGCTAGTTACGCTACGTAATGCTATAGTCTATGATCCAATTGGAGAAAAAAAATGCACAAGCGTGGTTTCTCGAGAAAGAAATCGCAGCTCATAAGCAAACTATAGACGCCGCTGAGACATGTCACGAACGCATGTGTGAACGCACTCTCTGATTCCTCAAATACTGAGTCAACTCAGCAACAGGAGCTGCTTAAACCAAAGAAGCACGCGAAAAAAAGAGAGACTGACGAACGGCCAGCAACAAGTGCCTCCACTACATAAAGCAGCTTTCGATAACAAGCATTTACAAATGTTACACTATATGAAAAAGATTTTTTTTTACTTATATACAAGTTATATTTTACTTTTAAGATGGCAAAAAAGAAGAAAGAAAAAATTGTAGCTTTCTAAACCGAACCGAACCAAGACGTCAAAACCGTGGGAAAAACGAACCGTCAGTTTTGTGTATCGTTACACCCCTATTTACCACTGTTTTTGCTGCTTAACTTCAATGATCAAATTTAACCATATAAGCAAATTACTTTATTTGAAACAACATGTTTCGTATTTGTATTGCTAAAATGAGTGTTGTACTTGCCTCTTCTGCACCCTGTTCTTATAGAAATTCTGTTGCTTTCACTATTTTGAAAGATACTGTTTACTTTTTAGGGGAATAAATGAAGTGTTTAGGGAGCCTTTTGATTGTTAACTTAATATTAATATATTAATTGTTATATAGATTGCAATTAAACAGTTTGGGCCCTGTTGTTTTATAAAATTAACATTTTGTAATGTGCCAAGTTAAAAGTTTCTCTGTATAATTTACAGTATTATCTGAGAGAGTTTCTTTCCTAAATAAAATGAATATTCTAACTGAAATGTTCTCATTAATCTTAATTGATTCACAGCAACTTGGGAAATCTATATCCATACAAATCCCCAACACAAATTCCACAATGGTTGTACATATGGCTCATTTAGGTCATGTAGGTGTTTGATTTGGTAAATGCTCTTGGATGTTTCCCAATTCCATCTTAAGCCTTAATGGATTAAGTTTGAATTTTTATTTCTTTTACATTTTCACTATTACAATATTTATTTGTCTTACTCTTCCTCTCTTTTCTTTTTTTTTTTCCAGATGGCAATATCTGAATTGCGGGCCAGCACCTGAAACAAGGCAGGCCATATCTAATGAGGTTTACATCATTGCATTATGCTCAAAGACCACATTTTCCTACAGAATTTTGGAATTGATGATGATTGATATGACAATCAAAGACTTTTAAGGATAGATTTTTTAATCTTTTATGCAATTTTCTGTTTTAATTAAGTTGGCAGAGTTGCCATTTTAGAAATGTGAATTTGTTTTTAATATTTGTTTTTTTTAGTTTTTTTTTTTTTTTTTTTTTTTTTTTTTTTGAGATTGGATGTTTAACATTTTATTTCCTGGAAATATTTCCAAATATTCCCAGTTTCCTAAACCATTGAAATTTATTACTCAAAAGAACCCACATTTGGCTTTGTCAGGATGGCGTACTCAATGGACTTAGGTGGAGGAGATGCCTTCATCTGCACAGAGTGTGGTGAAGGGTTTAGTCAGTACCCTAAACTAGTTGAACACATGGCCATTCATGGACTTAATGGCTTATTTTCCTCTGATGGTTTAAGCATAAGTAATGGTAGTTGTATCAACGCATCCATTGAGGTTGCTCTCCATGAAAACGGAATGCTTACTGTGGTTGATCGATCTGTTTTATCTAACTTTACTTTCTTGTTTGGAAAACCTTCAAACAAGTCATTATGGTGCCAACCCTCTAATCAAGAAGCGTTGACTTCATCCAAGATGCCAGGGAAGCAGTATGCTCACTTTAAATGTGAAAGATGTGGACAAGTGTTCAAAACCCTAAAAAGCTTACAACTGCATCAGCAGTACCGTGCTCTTGAGCAGGGGCTCAAATGCACCCTGTGCTGCAAGGTGTTTAATGACAGGGAGGGTCTGCAGAGCCATCTTCAAAACCATGCTCATGAACGCTTTTACAGCTGTGGACACTGTGGAAAGCGATTCTTAAGACAAGAGACATTACTGTCGCATCAAAAACAGTGGCATGGATCTATTGGTTCCAAGACTAGTAGATCCGAGGAAGATCAAGAAAGTAGCATGGACAGGTCTTACCCGTGCAAAATCTGTGGCTTACGCTTCTTTTGGTTGTCTGACTTGCAAAGCCACCTAAACAGTCATTCTCGTGTCAACAAGCCAACCACTGATGCAATGCAAAAACAGGAATCTCTTGTGGAGGAAAGTAAGAAAAATGGCAATGATTCAGTTAATGAGCCTTGTCGTTGTGGCCTGTGTGGAGAACATTTTAACCAAATTTCAGATTTAAGAGAACATCATAAAACACAGCATCCAGATGAGGTTGAGGTAAAGGACATATCAGATTTATCATCTAAAACAAAACAGCAGTATGGTGTAATGCAACAAATGTTTGCAAAACAGCAAAAGCAGCCACAAAGACCAAGCTTAAGAGGAAGACGTAGAGGAATGAGCAGAGCCAATTTTGGTGGTAAAATATTCTCCTGCAAACTTTGCCATCGTGTGTTTGTGCACTCAAGCAGTCTCTCTCGTCATATGCGGTACCATAAGGGTACTCTGCATTCCTGTGTTTATTGTGGAAGAAACTTTCCACAAAGATGTGATGTCACAAGGCATGTGGCCATGTACCACAGTTCAGCGCCTCAACCTAAGCCTCCTGGGGAGTCAAAGACAGAACATGAGGTTAAAAGCACTGAACAGGAACCCGCAAAAGCATCAACACAAACAAAAAGTGATAGTGAACAAGAGGATCTTGAAGAAGAAAATCAGTCCGAGTCTAAGGCAGATGACCGATTAGTTGGTTCTCGATATACGAGAACTTACACGCCAAGGATGAAGTACAAATGCAAAGAATGTTGTAGAGTCTTTGGGCTACTTAGTGTTTATAAGCGGCATGTGTATTTCCACAAGCGAAGTCCCTGTAAGGTATTGCTCAGTTGCCCTCTCTGTCCAAGCCGCTTCACATTCCTCTCTGCATTACATAGCCATCTTGAGAATCATCATAAAGGAGACTCTGAGAATGATGGCACAAAAGCTCCAGAGACCAATGTAGTTGATTCCGAAAATCAACAGGAAGATGCTGATGCTGAAAAAGCTGATAATGTTATGTCATCGGAGATAATGAATGAGTCTACTGAATGTTCTCAGACTTAGAAATGCACAAAAATGGTTTTGGCAAAAAACAGGTTTGGCTACTGATTCAGATGTTGAAAAATGTGAATGACATGCACAAATCTCACCCCTAACCACGAACACCGTTGGAATGGATTGAGAACTGTTTTGTTTAATGTCATTGCCTGACCTCCTTGATGCTCTTGTTTCTGGAGCAAGTCTCTTCAGCAATGTTCCTCCCCAAAAGAGTGTGGAGGCTGATACAAAAATCAAAAGCAGAGATTTTTTTTCTCATGCTTTTGAAATGAAATGTATGAGTATCAGAGGTAAGGGACTGATGCTGGAAGATGTCTTTCTGTTGGAAACTTCTGGAGCTCTTTTTTTCACTGCATGGTACGGCTCAGTACGGTTCGGCTTGGCGCAGCATGGTTTGGCTCGCTTTTCCACTGCCTGGTATGACTCGGCAAGGCTCGGTTCGCTTTTAGCTCAGTTTGATTTTCCACTGCAGTTAGTACCGTTTCAAAATGGGTGGGATTATAGACTGATCACTATGGTTTATCCGCTCCTCGGGAACCAACGAGAGGAACATCTGGACTTCGTCCACTGATCAAGATTCAGCCATTTCTTTTTTGGAAGTTTCTTTTTTTTTTTTTTTAAGCAAGTCATTTTAAAACCGGTACCATTGCGGTGGCTGTTACTGGATTTTTTAATCTAGCGTGTTTGATGTTCACAAATACAATGACGCAATCTGTGATCTGCAGTGTTTTACGAAGCAAGCGTACCATACCATGCAGTGGAAAAGCACCACAAAGTGAGCCATGCCAAGCCGTACCATACCAGGCAGAGGAAAAGAGCCAATAGTTGTAACAAAGTTGGAAGCACAGAATTCTGTAGAAAATCATTGTATAGAATGGTATTAAGATTCTGATATTAAGACATTGGAATATCTGGAGAAATGCCGAACCTGTTCATGCTGAGTGTCAATAATGAAGATATAATGTATGTCAGCAATGTCAGACTGCTCACATTTAAATAGTAATTAACACACTTTTTTTTAGTCTTCATGTGTTGTACTTTTATAGCGTTAGAAGCATTCTATAGACTTCTCGGGTGTATTGAATGAATACTGTTTTCTTGTACGTTGCATTTGTTGTTTATAAAAAGGTCATCAAATTCCCTTTCTATCTAATTTTTGGATGTGCTCTTCGAATTCTTTTTCAAACTGGGCATTGACGATATGAGCATGCATGAACCAACATGAACTGTATAAGAACCCATGGTGTCTGAATTTGAAAAATACTTTGAACATTTAGAGTTCTTTAAATCTGGTATTACTCGTGTCATTCGAACAGTGTTTGCTAATAGTTGAATTAAGAGCACACTTCTGGTACAGTTAGGGAAATGTGCATTTTAGCTATACTTTTTATAACTAACAGTCTAGATTTTAATACCCATAACCCACACACACTGAAGTCAAAGGCTGTTTCTCAATTCCAAGAACGCAAAGGACGGACTTGCATTCTCGTAGAGAGACTGATCTTGCCAGGCGACCTTGAAAGAACGAACTCTGAAGGACATGAGGACACAAAATGCATATTTGTGAGAATTGAGATGTGCTGTGAACTGGTTGCTCAACTGACTGTTCCAGAATATTATAAGTAGCAGCAAATGCACAAAAATATAACATAACATCACAGAAGTGTCATAACCTACATTTACATAAATCATTTATAGACATTTTCCCCTGTTTTTTGTGAAAATGAATATGTATGTTTAATTTTACCAATCCTTTGTCAATGTTAATATATTTTTTAATAAGCCAATAAATAACTGCCAGCTTTCTTCAGGTCTTTATCACAGTAAAATTAAGAAAAAGGAACAAACACATATTTGTGAGCTATTGTTCGTAATCTGTGGGAATCTCTTAAGTCAGAACAAGAAGTGTAAAGCTTACAGGCTTCTGTACGTCGACTGCCCGCAGTGTCTTCTGGGATTTCTAATGGTTAGATTCTCTCAAATCTGCATTTAATGCATCCTCAATATCAAGAACACATCAAGGTACTTTCATGCATCCTCTGTACTTGCATTCTTGAAAATTTGATGGTTTGTTGACTTAGTACGAAAACAAGACGCAAGATCTCTTAAGAATGCATATTGAGAAACAGCCTCAAGTCTCTGAACAAGATCAAGCCCTAAATAGAATTTTTTTTGTACAAATTGTTTTTTTAGTAGTGATGCAAAACATTATTACAATTCTCATACATCAGTAACCATTTTCTGCAAGTCTAGTTTTACATGTTTAAATAAAGATAATTATGTTTCCCCCTTTAAGGCCTTGTAATTGTTTAATTTATTTCTCAAATCAAAATATTAAAATTTGTTTTTATGCATACAAATTCCTTTCTTTGACCTTGGTTATGCTGAATACACACATTCTGACCTTAAATTTTGTTACAATAATTTAAAATGAATCTTAATTATCATGAAGAGTTAAAGATGCACTCAGTATTCATTGTTTGAAAAATGAGAAGTACTTTTTTAAAAATTTGCTTACATCTCTTAATAAAACCCTAATAAAAAACAATTTAATTAGCAAACAAGTTAGTTCTACGAACAGTCGAATACAACACGCTTTGTCTTGTAATCCCTGTTACAAAAATGTTAGCCTTATATTTAAAAAAACAAGTTTTAAACCATTATACAACTGAAAACCATTGCTACTGGTTGATGCTACATTCAAAATGCAAGATGCCAAGTCTGGCTCGACTGTCATATAGTCCACACAACAACAAAAAATAGCATTACATAAAGTCATGTTATAGAAGCATACATAATGCTCATGTGTATGCTTCTACAACATATTATTATGTAATGTTATTTATACCATTTGAACTTTGACTATATAAAACATAAACTGATATATTTTAAAATAGTGAAATTGTATATGGATTTTGCATAGTTATTAACAAAAAAAGAAGCCAAAGTGTTTCTGTGGTAATCAACAGCATGCTACAGATTCTGTTTTACACAACTAAATATTACTCCTGTTGTGGTCCTCCAAATTTAGCTTTGTTTACGGCACACTAACCGGATTTTTTAGGTTGGAGGCATTCAGATAAGAACAGAACAAAATCCATGTTTATAAACTATGAAAATATGGCAGATAATGTTGAAACTATGGCTTGTAATGTTGAAACTACCACAGAAATAAAAACGTTGGCATACTGTGTTTATATATAACACCAGCATTGCAATACACGATTAGACATGTTACATTTTAAAGTTTTAATTTAAGTTATAGAAATAAGCTATATGGTCATGGGTAAATGACCGACTTCATCTGACACATCTGCTACCATGTTTACAAAGATGAAACACCCAGAAACTATTTAAAAGGTTGGACTGTCCTGAGGTGGCAAGCAATTAGTGCCATACTTTGAAATTCTAGGCTCTGTTTACACTTGGTATTAATATGGATGTTTGTCAATCTGATGACAAGTGGTCAAATAAGACACAATACCATTTATACCTGGGCCTGGTTGCATGAAAACTCTTTGATGTAAGGGTACACTAAGGAGAAAACAAACGTCGATTGTGTCGATCAACCGTAGTAACCGTAGCAATGTTCTAGCTTCTCATTTGTTTGGTACCTGCTATTTTTGACCAAAGTAATTTAGGTGACCAAAGACTTGTGTTCTACAATTTGAGAGACGTGTCATGTTTTATTTTGAAGGCTTTGTCATAGAGCACTCTATTTCAGTGTTGCCATGTCCACTTTGGTCAGCAGTTTGTTCAAATGCATTTTTGTCCACCTCCAAATGTAGTTGAAAGTGGACAATCTCAAAACATATAACGCTGTCCACTTGTGGTCAGGTTGACCAAAACCTTAATTCCAAGTGTAAACAGGACCTGAGAGACTTAAAGTAGTTTAGAAAACAACAGTGTCCATTGCTGACAATATTATTTTATGATTAGTCTGAGAGAAATTGGTGATATTAGACAAAACACTAGATACGACCATATGATACCATAGACATAGTTCAGCAGACAATACCAAGTTGTGTTTCTTATATTGTAACAGTCATATTGCAAGTGAGGATATTTTAAATGTAGTGCTGGTATGTTGTTGCACCTGTATTCTGCATATTTGAAGCCATTAAAACGTACATACGTTTTGTAAAATCCATAGGCTATCTAAAGAGTTTTAGGTCATGTCTGAGGATAACCAGCTACGGCTGAACTCATAAGCATACAACATATCATTTCGAGTGAAAAAACAAAGAGAAAATCCAAAAAAGTCAAGGGTACAAGACTGTGTACATATTTTCATTATTTCCAGGCAAAGGAACTACTCATAAACCACCGCGCCTCACTGAAATCGACTGAAGCCACAACCGTGAAAGAGCCTTTTGAGTGACTTCCAAACTGATGACGGCCACGTGAACTTTTTCCTACAGTGAATTTTATATAGTGAATGTGCAGGGAAACTCCTTTTCTTCAATTTACTGAAGCTTATATGTAAAACACATGCAACCGCACATGCTAAAACAGTGAGCATCTGGCTCGCTCATAGGCTGTGCTGCGGCAACTGCACATCCAATCGCGCGGGCGCCTCTGACGTGCGACCAATGAACTAGCCCTATGTCATTACACGATCTTCAGTCTTCACAGACCTTCGCGGGGTTTAACCCGACAGTTACATGACTTCCACCAATCAGATGCATTACTGTGGGATTGTTCAGGATTGTGGGTAATAAAGTACTTAGACAATGAAGTACATAATCCAAGACATTGTGAATTAAAGGCATTTATCTTAAAACAAGGTTAGTGCCCCATGAACTTTTGGCGATTGTATGAGCATACAATCGCTTAGTACAGCCGTTGCTGGTTTTAAGTCTACCATGTATGGTTGTTTTTTAATGGCTTATATCCCAAATGTCAATGGAGAAATTGTATTGAATTCTTACTTCCGGCACCGGCTGAGGGTGGAATTGAGATGCTCTATAGGTCTTATAAGACATTCACCTATGTTCTTGCATGACTCATTGTTGCTGTTAATTAGCCCAGTCATGTCATAGGCCATCTTTACTGCTGTGAGTAGTTGTACAGGTGAACAAGGAGGCATATAAGTATAGTCCAGGACTAAAACAGTAAGCTAGAGAGGATGTGTTGAGGTCGGCTTGTTAGGAATTCCCGTATCCAAACTGTAGACAGAATTGCCTAAGCCCTGGTTCTAAAATTTCTGGAAAACCTTGTTTGGAAAAAGAGCACCTAATGTAGATTAACCAACAATCCAGATTTTCAAGACAAGTATACAGTATTAGTTCAAGGATTTCTGCAATGCAACTGCGTATGCAATAGATTTAATCTTTCCATTTTGGGTCTATATCTAGAGAGTAGAGACAGCTATTCTATTTGCCACCTCATTTAAAATTAGAGGAAGAATCTTTGACTATACTTTAATCTGTTATTTCAGAACAACCAACACTTGCATGATTTTCAACATTTGTAGACAGCATCTTTTTGTTGACGGTTAGTGAGATTTGTTTCTTCAGTGTTGTATAACACACCAGATCAACAGCCTTTATAAAACTGTACTGCCAACACCCAGAAAGTCTTCACAACATTCTCATCTATCCTCCTCCACATTTTCCTTTCACCACTGACTAGTTACATCTTTGTCAAATAGCGCATCTGGCCACAGAGAAACTAGTACCATGCAACAAACAAGTGAGCAATCCTGAGTGGTGACGTCAAGACATGCATTCTACCAGCACGTTCTTGACCAATTCTGGGCCAAGAACGGTTTGTAATCAATGCCCTGTCATGCAGTGCCATAACAGGCTCAAGTGGAAATACAACTAGAACTGTACCTTATCATTCTTAGAAAAGTTCAGCCCAATGGTGGAAAAGAGGCTTATATCCCCTAGATTTGAACATGCTTATTTTCCTCAAACCATCTCTCTTGCACTCTTATCAGTACTCACACACATCATAAATGTGTCTACTTCCAGTGGAGTCTTCTCAGCTAGTTTTAAGGTTCAGGTATACTGTACCCACTGTACCCCCCACTCAAACCAATACCATAACCCAGCAGTAGTACATTGCCATTTATGTTTTTGCTGGTGCATTTATCAAAAAGCACCTTCAAGTGAATTTAAAAATCAAACCAATGATGACTGCTTCACAAGCACCATTATTTTACTAGTTATGCTGGAACTGATGAATTTTAAACAACATATCTTTCTGATTTCTTCCCTGTCCAAAAACATTGAAAAGGATGTCTTCAATTTTTTGTATTCCTTTTTCAGAACTGAAAAGAAGACATTTCACTTTGCTCTTGCCATGCTCTTATTTCCTGAATCCCTTTGACTGGCATGACTTTGAGATCATCTGTCCTCAATCTGCTTAACCTTTGACGTCATCAGATGTCCTATCAACCCTTTCAAAATTGTGCATCACTGGTACTGCTCTTTACTGCTTTAAGTCCTATCTTACCGGCAGATTCTTCAAGGTTTCATGTGAGAGGGAAAGAGTGTCTGAATCATACCCTAACCACTTGAGTTCCCTAGGGTGCACTAGTGTCCCTTTCCTCTTCAATATAACACAGCTCTAGTTGTCTTTCCAGCCTGATAATCCTACATTCTCATTCTGTCTTTCAGATTAAATGTTTTTTACATCATGGATTGAATTAAGGAATGTCATATCCAGGTCAATCTTGCAAAGGCAGAACTCATTGACATCCCAGCCAGGCCATCAATTGAACACAACACCAAATAGTTAGACTCAACCATAAAGCAGCCATCTTTGGGCATATTTACCATCCAAATAACTGCCCAGTTTATGCTCTTTAACATAAAGAAAATTAGCCCACACCTGTCTGATTATGCTGTGTAACTCTGGGTCCAGACTCTTGTCATCCTAAACCTGGAGAATTGGAATGCTTTACTATCTGGCCTTCCAGCTGTCAAGCCTGGCAGATGATCCAAAATACATCGGAGTATCTCGTTCTCGTCTTCAGTCTCAGTCAGAATTTTGAAAAACCACACACCCCTCTTGACTCTTCTGATAGGTATCTACATACAATTCAAGGCTCTAAAACTAGCATACCAGACCAGTACTACGTTCTCCCATATCCCTTGCAGTCAGTCAAAGAACACATGATGGTGCCATGTCATGGGGAACTTCCTAAAACCTTCACACTGTTCCTGTCTTTTGGTAGTGGAATGAACTCTCAACCTTCACTCTATGCAATCCCTTACTGTCTTTAACAAATGGCAAAAGTCATGTTCTGTAGGAGCTTAAAATGTATATACACTTACACTGCATAAACATACTATTCTTGTACCTAATAAAAAATTGTTTGGTATGATATACTTCTGTTGTGTTGTCCCTTGGATCAATTGCTTCTACATATGTTATTCTCAAGTTGCTTTGGATAAACTATCCTCTAAATCAGGGGTTCCCAATTTAACTTCTGGAGGGACATGCCTACATTTCTACTAATCCTTAATACCATGATTAACTGGTTCATGAGTGTTTAATTGAATTTGGACTCTGTAGAACTCTGCAGGACTTTGGCCTTCTTTGGCCGCAGGATTGGGCACCCGTGCTCTAAATGAAGAAATGTAAATGAAAATGCTTATTTGCAAAGTTCTATCCTATTTTATGGGTAGATTAATATAAAGAATGTTTGAACAATCTGTCAGAAGCTAGCAGAGCAACCAAAGATAAGTGAAGCGACTCTTGTTTTGTGTCAACCTCAACTTCGATTTTATTTTAGAAAGAATCTTCCAAAACCCCAAATACCCAGACACAAAAAGGCATAACTATACTGTCAAGATTTACTTCACCTCCTCCATTATAGAATCAGACAAAGACCCGTTTTTTTTTTCTTTCCATTAAATAATATAAGGAAGCCATTTAACGGTTCTCAAACAATATCTCCTTTTAATGGTCATTTGTTTGTGTTGTGTAGAAGTCTGTTTTTTCAAACTCATCAGTCAACACGAGTGCCAGTGTGCCTCTTTCTGAGTGAGAGTATGTCATTGGATTTAAAAAAAACTTTCTTGTAGTCTTGTAGGCTACAAGTGTCCGTTTGCATATTGCCCCCTACCTCCAAGTTAGAGTCATTTCCTTTGTACAACACCTTTTCTTAATAGTCTTATCTCAGGGACAGGCAATTCCAGTCCTAGAGGGCCATTGTCAGAGTTTTGCTCGATCCCCAGTCACACATACGTGAAAATCAAGTCTAAAGGATTGCTTGAAATTTATAGGCAGGCATGTTTGTTTAGGATGGAGCTAAATTCTGCAGGACAGTGTCCCTCTAGGACTGGAGATGCCCAACCCTGTCTTACGTAAAAAATAAATCTGGGCAAGTTTCCACCCGATTCGGTTATACAGTATGTTGTATATTTTAAATATTTTGTATTGGGGGATTCTGATTATGTGCAGTGTATTTCAAATATTTCTTAATGAGTAAAGTAATTTTGTTTTTAGGACCATTTTAGTGAGTGGTACAACAATGTGTTAAAGGTGAAGTATGTAAGTTTCTGTGAGACTAGTGGCACCAAGCAGAATTACAAAAATATAGCATATTTTGCAAATGGCCATTTTGTGTGTCATGCCTCCACCAATTAAAACATCACAAATACAGCTCTTATGGGTGCTTATGAAGGTATGTCTCAACAGGTAAAAGCAGGCTACTTTCATTAAAGGTCCAACATTGTAGGAATACTTTTAGCTGTGTTGCTATGTCATGAGTAAGCAATTGAGAAGGCTAACACTCTGCCAAGACCAAACCTGTGCATCTGGGGTTTATAATAAACCCATTCAACGTAAGTGCACCAGCCGTATTTTATGACATGACGCATCACAACTATTTGAAGCTGACACTGGACATGTCAAAGTAAACACTATAAACTTGTACTTTGTTTTTCTGAAACGGTGCATGATGATTCTGTATGGCTGAGGTCTTCATCCCTGCTCCTGGATACCCACTGTCCTTACAGAGTTTAGTTTTAACCCTCACACACCTGAAGCAGCTGATCAAGCTCTTCAAGATCTTCGAAAATACACAGGCAAGTGTGCTGAAGCAGATTGTAAATAAACTTTGCAGGACAGTGTGTACCCAGGAGCAGGGTTGAAGAACTCTATATTGAAGCTTCCATTGTAACATGTTTCATCGCAGTGTCCGATTCACTTTGATGTGTTCATAACCTGTTTAAACTTTGAAGGTCTAAATGGAGTGAAATTTGCCTTGCACATCTGCAGAATGTCTTTTCCCATGTAACGTGTCAGCCTTGGTCCCACACTGGCTCAGCCTTCTACAGTAACCTCGGGCAAAACTCACAATATTGGTTGAGCTGGAAAGAGATTGACAGATCTGAGTGAACCCCTCTCAATGTTTATATGGTACTTGGAGGGCGCAATGTTTAACAAACTGGGTTAAGGGAATGTATTTTACCATTAAAAGAAAATCTTACATACTTGACCTTTAAGGTATACAAGTAAAAGCGCTCCAAAGTCAGCAACCTCCCAAACCAAATGCAGGGTTATACCTAGTAATTCATATCAATAGGGCTTAATGACATTATAGACTCACCATGTTCCTTGGGGGGGTTTTTTCTTCTTTTTTTCTCAAGTTATGTTTTTGGCCTTTTATGCCTTTATTAGATAGGATAGTGTAGAGGAGACAAGAAGCAGTGGAGTGGAGAGAGGGGAACAGGACAGGCAAAGGACCTCAAGTCAGTCCTCGAACTTGGGTTGCTGGAAACACAGCTGTGACATTGGAGTGCTGCCCACAAGGCTATTGCTCTGACACTATGTTCCCTGTTTATAATACATGTAGCCATATTGTGTTGTTTTAACCAATGTACCATTTATAATGGTTCCCTTTCACTATGTGACAGCTTTCTTGTATTGTATCTATGCTTCTTGCAGAGGTACAATTCTGGGAAGAAGAGGGAAGGATTAATCCAAATAATTGAAATTGGGCTAAGAAATGGGTAGAGCCGGTGAAGCAGGAATGAGTATAGATGGAAATTGAAAATATTAAGGGCTGTTTTACTCCCTGAGCTAAGTTGAGCCTTTCTCTGGGTGGTGCATTTGCACCTTTGCCAGGAAATCCCTTGGGGTTAAAAAACAAGCATTTGCATTAGTTGTCCCTACAACCTGCTCAAATGAAATGAGTCAAAGGATTCTCTCAGTGATTGAATTTTTTTTCAGACTTATATGTTAATCTGATTTATCAAAGCCAGAGGAACCACTTTAGTTGTTTGGTTCATTCGTTGTTTGTTACAATTACCTTTTCCAATCTACAAGATATCAGTCCACATTGCGGATTAAACTTTTACAGTAGGTTATCAAGTGCAAAGGTGTGGTGGGCTCCAAAATCGGTTCAGTGGCATATTTGTCACAATAGTAATAATGAAATATCTTACCGCACCAAGATAGGTGGCTTGAATTGCTGGAACGCTGGGTAAAGTTCTTTGACAAGAAACTGTAAGGTACTGCACCCTGCAGCAATCAAAGCACGCATCATGTAGGATGGTCGACGGAATATCTAAGCACCTCCCACAACATCGGCAGCCATTTTAAGGTACGTTCCTAAGATACCATGCGCAAAAAAATGCTTCCACACATTGGACATTGAAATGGAGGCCCCGTAGAACTGGAGGCGTGTCTTCCTCTCCCTTAGCCGTCTTCTCATAGGTTCAAGTGGTCGAGTGTCACGAAATATCCCGGGGTCGGGTGAGCCACATTGTTTGGTGAATGTGCATCGAATTGTACTAACATCAAACCCGTAATGATTTCAAAAAATAATGAAAGTGTTCCAATGAGCTTCAACTTGGATTGAAAGTTTGGGAATATCTTATGTGCGCATTGCGCAACGGGAAGGTGCATCTTACAAAGGAAAACGACAGCAGCAGGAAGCCGAGCACGACGGTGAGTACGAGCCGTTCTGAAGGGGAGAAGCTCATGGGGAGAAGCTTACTGCTTTGCAACGTTATTGAACGGAGCATTACAATACTAAGAGTGTATACTGCATTAGATAAGATTTACATCGCAAATGTAGACGTTGATTTTCCTAGTTTCTTGGATCGCCAGCTCTTGCTTGTGTGCTCGTACTCCAGGCTCCAAGCATGCAGCCCATTTTGTTTTGTGACGTTGGACTTCCATGTTGCTAGCCAGCCAGCTTAGCTTCGTGCATTTCTCTTTCAGGTTGCTCCGTTAGCATTATACGACCAAATAACAAACAAAATACAACAATTAACGTTTTAATTCAGTTTACATCCGTACATTTACATTGTTACGGTACTTGACACGTATCTGATAATTTATTAAATGTTACTAAAACTAAAAATCTGCATCAATGTAAAACAGCCACCGGTTTGTCACTGTACACCGTCTGGAGGGACTCCATCGTCTAACGTTAGAGGCTAAATGTTTCCATGGTGAACGTATTATATAGATGTTTTGTTGTAATAATTTAGTTTGTAAAGTTTAAAGAATTTGAAATGGTTCAAGATGTTCGTTTTATGAATCACTGTTTTATACTTGTTTTATGTGTAAACTAGTGTAACGTTATGTATATTGTTTAGAAGTCTTTCCCCTGTCTACATGTTTTATAATGAGCCTTTTTTATTTTACAGTGTATGTTTAAAGACAAAAGGTGATTGGAATATGCTTTTGGAATGTGTACTACTGGCATATTAGGGTAAGTTGACTTAATTAATTTTGCAGGCTGTTTATAATTCTTCACACTATTTGTTATTGCTCATAGCATATGGGTGTTTAGTTGCTTTGTACAGATAAAGATGTATAATATCTCCTTGTGGAATTGAAAGGAGTTATTGCATCTTGTCAATGAACCTTCCTCGTATATCTTTATTTTACCATATAATAGCAACATGCAAATGATTTATGTACTGTCAGAGCAGTGACTTTTTCTTTACTGCACTCATTCATATTGCACACAAGTTAGTGTGATAAAATAGATTTATTAGTTAGGTAACTTGCTGTATGCACATCTGTTCTCCTACCTGAGTATAACATTTGTGACTTGAATGCAGGCAATTCTGTATGAGCCCAAGACGACATTGATTATGAATATGATCGAATGCCTATCGTATATTAATACTAAACTTTGTTTGTCATGTCAACAGCATTGGTTAGTTGATTGGTCATCTTACTTGATGGCAAAATTATACTGTTTTTCTCACATTTAGCTTGTTAGTAGTGAATTTACAGGTCATTTAATTTGTCATTAAACCTACTGTAGTAGCAAGATTACCAATCCAGTTTTAAACACAGACGTGGTTTAAGACCCAAATGTTATTTAAGAGTTGAATCAAGTAGGATTATTCGTAAAAATCCAATCAGTGAATGATAGTAGATGGATAGGGGATAAGGAAAAAAATTATTATTGAAAAAGTTTTCAGAGAAAACTAAAAGACTAAAAAAATTTTAACTAAAAATTAAAAGAACATTTAATGGTCTTTCCATCGCTGCAATTTTAAAAGTTCCACAGTTTTTGTTATTTTTTATTTATTTTTTAATTTTGCCTTTTAAATTAAAAGTATTCTATCAGTAGCATAATAAAAGCTAATTTATTTTACATGGAGTGGGTCATCTCATGGGGGCTGCCATTTTGACGACCAGTCATGTACTAGCCTACCTGCTTTATCTTTGTAATTCCCCTATTATTAGAACACTATTACAATGCAAATGTCATGGGCTTGATTCCCAGAATGCACATCTGATAAAGTTTATACTTTGAATGCAATGTAAGTTGTTTCGGAAAACAAACGCATTGATTTTAAATAGATTTTGACTTTGAAAAGTGTATTTAAACAGTGGCATCAGTAATGGAAAATTATTTCCTTTTCATGAATGATGCTGCATCCACAGCACTATGTGTAGCCTAAAAGACCAAAATAGCACCATATTGCCCAGTTCAAACATAATAGAAAAAAATACAGTGCACTTTAAGACGACGTTAAATTAGTTGCGATTACCCAGGTAAAAAGGTTTCTATGACAAGAAAAAAAATATCAGTAGGCTATGTTATTTGGTATTGATGTGATCTCATGTGAGTGACAGATTGTCCAGCCCTTGCATGTCATCAGGGAAGAGCTGTCGTTTGCAAAAAGTTATTTTGATTAATGATTTTGAGGGCACATGAATTTTAAAAAATCTAATGAGCATGCGTGGATAAATATTTTATAATAAACATTGCAATATTGCATTAAAAGAATTATCCCTTTTTATTGTATGGTTGTGACTGATTTCATATACCGATACAGACCTGACTAACGTCTCCTGGTTTATTATAGCCTGGTTAAAACCAGACCATTCTCAGTTGTAACTGAGATGTGGTCTGGCAAAGCTTCATAGACAAATCATTTCCAGAGTGGCGTCACCAGCGGACGTCGCGGGTAGATCTAAAACCAATCAGAGCGATGAAGGAGATGACGTTTGCAGAGCGGCGGCTGGTGGAGAAACAGAGAAACATCTCAGAGTGTTGTTCTTTGCTCGGTTTTTAACAAAAAGGAAACGTTCAAATCGCTTAAAAACAGATGCGATAGGCTATCTCAGGACTACAATAGCTGATTTGAGCAAGTGGTGTTCGACGATGCGTCCATCTTTGTAATGTAGTAGGCTACAAAATCTGCTTCAAAATCCCAGCGCTGTCGTCATCGTGTAAGGCCCGCCCCAACGTTTCTGATTGGTGCCGCGATTTCTGCGGACTGGAAATGAGTTTGAATGAGCTCTTTGCCACACTGGGGGTGCTTCTCATTTCTTATTTGTGCATCCTCGTTTCCTTCCCTTGCTTCCTTTCCTTGCGTCTCAGCTCCACCCCCTGTAGGACGCGAGGGAAGGAAGCGAGGAAATGTAAGGAGGACAGAGGAATCAAATAAAAGCTTTTTTATATACATTGGAATACTTGATCACTCGAGCGTCACTCCTCAGTGTCATCAACGGCGCTAAAAGGATCTGCCCTTATGTTGTTGAAGTTTGGTTATTTAATAAATTCATAATAAATAATAATAAAGATATGCTATACTGTTGAAAATCTGAGATGTGTGGTTTATATAAACTGCAAAGGTAAAGTATAAATTAAAATGATTGTGACCGATGTGAAGGGGGAGGAGAATTGACGTTTAGTCAATATAACAATTCCGCGTAGGATGCACCTGTGTATCCTCGCTTATGACTCCTCAGGAAGCCTCCTCACTCCTCGATCCTCGACACCTCACGGTGCAATTAGAGAATTGAGATGTCCTTCAAGATGGCTCAGCTCGATCGGTTTCCGGGTCATAGGAGGGAGGACGGAGGAGCGAGGAGACGAGGAGGGATATTGAGAAGCACCCTAACTTTCAGAGCAAATCTAAATTTGCCGGAAGTTGTCTGGGTTTTCCCAGGCCAGGTTAATTACAGAGGTGGGAGTGTATTTTCTAGACATGGGTGTCACAGAAGGTCAGCTTGCGTGCATCACCACGTATGCTGTATGTCTTTTAATTTATTAAAACAATTTTTATTTATTAAAAACAAATTTAAAGGATTAGTTCACTTTAAAAAAAAAACTTTTGCTGATAATTTACTCACCCCCATGTCATCCAAGATGTCCATGTCTTTCTTTCTTCGTGTTGAAACATTAGCATGGCAAGAATTAGCCTAGAATCAATGACGGCAGTCACTGACATTTGCATTTGGACGAGATTAGATTTCTCAGAGGACCGTTGACTTTGCCGAAATGTAATTTGCAAAGGAATATTCACCTGATTTGCTCAACGACTTCAAAATGATTCGTTCAATGATTCATTTTCCCAAACACCCGAATCTGCGGCGATTGGTCAAATGACCCAGTCAGTTGTTATTGGTAAAAACCGTAGGCAGAGATTGTCGGAAACGGAACACCCATCACCATTAATGGATTATAGCTTGTCAAGTGTTGTATACAGTGTATGAACAAACGTGTCAGAAAAAGTGCACTTTCCACATGGTCCCTTACTCGCGTGTCCGTCAAGAGCAAGCTTTCCCGGCGAAACTCACATTGCGGGGGCTTTTGAGGGGCAGTGCTTATTATATAGCGTGAAGTCATATTTGGTTAAGTCGTTTAGGAGGTAATTGCCATTTTTCTGGTGAATGTCTGGTGAATATCAAAAACAAAACTAACTTTACCCTGCGTAGAAGCTGCGTGGAGTGTACAAAACGCACACAACAGAATATAACTAAATTGTGCATGCTACAGAAAACATAACAGCAAACAATATTAATAATACTTACAGATTTTGATTCAGAGGAGGACGAACCTGATCCACATACACTGGATACTGAACCCTCCTTCGGGAACAACTGGCTTGCGAATCCACATTTGAATTCATGTATGTTTTTAAATGATTCGTCATTAAAATGATGAGAACACAAGGTTCGGGCTATACTGTTGTGGTATCCTTGCAAATATGAACTCTAAACCACTGATTCTTCACATGCTCGTCCCTGGGCAATGAAAACAAGTGGCTGAACTGTCTCTGCAATGTAGAACACGGCGTCTTCTCGACATTCTAGACTTTTAAGTTCTGTCTGCGTGCGCAGTTGTTGGGAGCGGCCCATGAGCTAATGTTTTGTATCTACGTCACGACGAAACAGCTAATGACTCGTTTCAAAAACAATTCATTTCATAGACTCGGAGTCGACTCTCACTTTTGAAAGACAATAACTTTATATACGGTGCACTTTCAGGTATAAATCTTTGCAGGATGTTTTCATTCCTTTAGAGCTATAGTCCACACTACATGAACATTCATTTTCAAAAATCCATGATAGGTGCTCAAGTAAAACAGTTGAAATGTTTATACTGCATTTAAAACATACTGTCTGACGAACTTAGCATGTCCTTCACAGTGAAAATATTGTGAGTATTGTAACGCCAAAATACGCCAACAGTAGAGGCCTGTGTGAAACAGGCCATCATTTATGGCAAACTGGTGGGTGCAACGATCCAGTATCACTCAAAGGGATGATTCACCCAAAAATGAAAATTCTATCAATAATTACCATCATGTCCAAACACGTAAGAACTTCGTTCATCTTCGGAGCCCAAATTGAGATCTTTTTGATGAAATCGGAAGGATTTCTCTCCCTCCGTTGACCGCTATGCAAAACGTTTATAAAGAGATCGTAAGGCTAATCCATATGAATTGAGGGGTTTAGTCAATTTTCCTGAAGAGATATTGCAGGATGAACACATCGATTTTTGGCTTTTATTCACATTTAAACGTCTATCAGCAAACATAAACAGAAGCTCAACCGAACCTGCAAAAAAAAAAAACCTCTTGCAGAATACTTTAATTGGGCCAAATGTTTATACCAAGTTTCTGATCACCCAGTAAACATTGGTCCTCCCTAGACCATTTATTTATGATAACTGCTTTGTGCACAGGGCTATCATATACTGCAGGTTTTCCCTATCCTGTTCCTGGAGACCTACCTTCCTGCAAAGTTCAGCTCCAACCCTGATCCAACACAATTGAACCAGCTCGTTAAGATTTTCAGGAACACCTATAGTTACAGCCAGGTCTGCTGGGTCAGGGTTGGATCTGATCTTTGTAGGAAGCTAGATCTCCAGGAACAGGGTTGGTCAACCCTGCTATACTGTCTCTACAATGTCATTGTATACAGCAGTATTACGATTTATCCTCAGAGAATTTACTGGAATATCCAAACCTATTAAGTAAAAGGTAGTTGTCCATTTACCTTTGACCATATGGTGTATCTAGAGCTTTTCTTTAATTTTTTGTACTTTTTGCTAAACAGGTTATGTGGCACCTATGTTGTCTAATGGCACTTTTCCACTGCTGGTACGGCTCAGTACCGTTCGGCTCACTTCGCTTTTCTACTGCGTGGTATGACTCGGCTCAACACGGCTTGGTTCGCTTTAGCTTAGTTTGATTTTCCACTGCAGTTAGTACCGCTTCAAAGTGGGTGGGAATATTGTCTGATCATTGTAGTTTATCCCCTCCTCGGCAACCAACGAGAGAAACGTCTGCACTTCGTCCACTGACCACGATTCAGACATTTCTTTTTCTGGAAGTTTTCTTTCTCTCTTTTTTCTTCAAGCAAGTAGTTTTAAAACGGGTGCTACTGTGGTGGCTGTTACTGGCTATTCAAATGGGTTTGATGTCTCGCAAATACAATGACGCTGGTAGTGATGATTCTGTCTGACCAATCAGTGTCCTGCAGTGTGTTCACGTCACAATATAGGGTGCTTCTCATTTCTTATTTGTGCATCCTCGTTTCCTTTCCTCGCTTCCTTTCCTCGTGTCTCAGCTCCACCCCCTGCAGGACACGAATGAAGGAAGCGAGGAAAGGAAATGACGTTTGAGGAATCGATTAAAAGCTTTTTTATATACATTGGAATACTTGATTACTCGAGTGTCATTCCACAGTGTCATCAGTAGCGCTAAATGGATCGGCCCTTATGTTGTTGAAGTTTGGTTGTTTAATAAATTCATAATAAATAACAATAAAGATAGGTTACACTGTTGAAATGTGTGAGCTGTGTGGTTTATATAAACTGCAAAGGCAAAGTATAAATTAAAATGATTGTGACCGATGTGAAGGGGGAGGAGAATTGATACGTGCGTCACGTTTAGTCAGTATAACAATTCCGCATTGGATGCACCTCGCTTATGACTCCTCAGAAAGCCTCCTCACTCCTCGATCCTCGACTCCTCACGGTGCAATTAGAGAATTGAGATGTCCTTCAAGATGGCTGAGCTCGATCGGTTTCCGGGTCATAGGATGGAGGACAGAGGAGCTAGGAGATGAGGAGGGATATTGGGAAGCACCCTTAGTGTCAGTATGGTACACTTGGAACCTCAGTGGTGGTAGCATTTAAAGCGAACCGTACCATGCAGTGGAAAAGCTGCACAAGTGAGCTGTGCCGAGCCGAACCGTGCCGTACCATGCAGTGGAAAAGCGGCATAAGGTTCAGAGCATGGGTTATTGCACTGAAAATAGCATTTTCAACTATAAACAACAGTCTCATTTAATGTTCTCTCAAAAGGACCGTTGCTTACTAGATTTTACTGATAATATCCAACATAATCTTACAGTTAGGTTAGTTTGTTTACCCTGTCCGGTTAGCAGATGACTACCTGAAAATACACAAATATTATAATAGCATGGCAAAAGTGTGCGTCAAGGGCACACATCAGTCCCAATGCCTGTGTGAGCATCCTTCTCAAACCTAGAAATGTCAAATGATGCACCCTATGGACTTGTGCACATGCTTTCTGTAGTCATCGCAGGTCCACAAAACCACAAGTGCACAATGTGCACCATTTGGGACATGTCCCAGGTGTGCATACAAGTTTGCAAATTAATGTCTTGTTTTACATAGAACTAGCTTAAAGACACATGCACTTTGGCTGTATTCTTGGATTTGTCAGTCAATGATCTTGGTTCGTGATCTTAGAGATAGTGATCGTGATCACTCCAATAGATTTCAGTATGTTTAACTGCTGCCGCTTTACACCCGTGCTGTATATTTGTTGATTTTATTTATTTTTTTTTCATTTTATTAGTTTCATACTAACATTCTTAATGGAAATTCTTGGATTAAATCTCCGTTATTTTGTGTATTGTTGGTGGTTCGTGTTATGAGGTTCGCTGCTTCATTACACTGTGAATAGACAGCGGTGATCTCTCTGCCTGCAGTGGCAGCTGTGACCAATGCATGTTCACACTCGCCGCCTTATCCCGCTGAGTCTAACCTTGATCTGTATATGAGCAGCGAATCATTGTGGTTGATTTCATCCAACAGGAACAGCGTCAGCTCATACTCATTTTGTTTGGACCAATGGATTGCATAACTCGTGCTTCATTGATATTGTGTCTGTAGGTTTATTTTTTGTTGTATTAGATTTGTTTGCTTGATTTGTGTTGCACTGTATATGAAAAACAAGTAATATTGTTTACAAAGTATACGATAATCTTATGACTGATCATGTTATGCCAACATGGCCACATTCCTGAGGGGATGACCTGCTCCATATAGAATAAAAAGATTTTTACTTGATGACTAATGTCTAGGCCTTCTCAACTCCAGTTCTGGAGGGCTGGTATCCCCCGGTCTTTAGTTTGAAGCCTGATTAAACACTTCTATCTGTAATTTGCAAGTAATTCTGAACACTGTGATTAAGTTTGTTTTTGGGCTGTTTGGTTAGAGTTTGAACTCAAGTCTTATGGTGTTTTTCCATTACCAGTAGCCTACCAACTCAACTCCCCTTGGCTTGGCTCGCTTTTCGCTCTGTTTTCCTTTGCAGACAGTACCGCCACAGTTACCCCTTTTCCACCGAAAAAAGAACTGGTTCGGAACTGGTGCTGGTTTAAAGTTGGTTCAGAGTTGGTTTAACTTGCAAACCCGTTCAGAACCTGTTTGTTTTTCCACTGACTAGAGCGCCCAGGGAACGGCGTCGTTACGTCACTGTGCATGTCGCTAGAAACGCGTCGCTTGCAAGTACATTGCTTTGGGATTATCTCTAACTCGTGTACCAAGAAAACTTTAAAAACAATTGAAATCTTTTCGTTTGATATATAATCTTTTCTGATAAGTTATGTACCCCTGTCTTGTGTAATTTTTCTTTCCATTTATTTGTTCCATATTGTGACTGTTTTCTTCTTTGCTTATGTTTCAAATTAAATAAATAAATAAATAAATAAAAACGCTTCCGTGTTTCTGCAGTTTCTCCTGGCTTTGCGATTGTCAGAAAATATGTTTAGAACACATTTAAACCCGCCCCAGCCCCCGACGTAACATGACGTGCTAAAAGAACGGTTCTAGTCCAGCAAAGAGTTAGTGCCGCTTTGGAACCAGTTTTCCCGGTTGCGAACCGCGCGCAGGCACCGGCTCCGAACCAGCTCTCAAAATGCTTTGGTGGAAAAGGGGCTAAATAGTACCCGGTCGTCATAGCAACGCCTTTCGTTCCTCGTTGCCCTATCAAGCTCTTGCTGGATCCTCTCTTCGGCAACCAAACAAAAGGAAAGTCTGTTTGACCATGGCGTATTCTTTAGAGTTGCCATAATAATAGTAGTAAGTTTAGTAACTATCTCTGGCCAAACTATTTAAAAATCGTGGGGATATTCTGGATACTCCATCTAGCACGTACAATGATGACACAGTGAATGGTGACAATTCTCTCTGACCAATCAGCAGTCGGCATTGTTTTCACGTCACATTTTAGTACCGGCTCAGCTTTCCTTAGCTCGCTCAGAACCTCGCCGGAGGTGTTACAAGAAAAGTACCCGAAAGCAGGTACAGGTACAACTTTTACACAGTTGAAAACCAAACAAAGCGAGTCGAGTCAAGCTGAGCTGGTACTGTGTAGTGGAAAACGCCATTAGAGGGCCAGTGTTCTGGAGTTTGAGCTGAAAAGCTCTGGTCCAGGCCAGTGCTTTTCAAATCTGTCCTGGAGACCCTTTACCCATGCAGATTTTGGATGTCTCTGGTTTGGGGGCACCAATTTCAGGTTCTGCAGTCTTTACTAATGAGCTAATGAGTTAATTCAGTTTTGTTTGATGGAGACCACTAAAATGTTCAAGGGCAGGCAGGTTTGGTCTGGCGTCCTGCTCCATGGAGGGCAACCATCTTGCTGAGTTTAGCTCCAGCCCTAATCAAGCACATATGTAACTGGTTGATCAAAGGTGTTCAGGAGGCATGATTTCTTTTTCTTTTTTCCCTAAACCAGTTAAGCACAAACCTCAACCTGCAGCCTATTGGTATTGGTCAACTCAATCACAGGTGTGTTGGAGCAGGGTTGAAAATGAAGTCTGCAGGAGGATATCCCTTCAGGAGCAGGGTTAGCAAACCTTGGTCTAGACATGTCATCTCATGTGAGTCAACATTATTGCTTTTTGTATAAATATTTTAATTAGAAAAAAATTTGAGTAAATCAATATTAGTGTCTGCTGGTTGGTGTAAATTATTTTAATCATTGCCTAAAAATAGCTTTTAGAATTTTGCATTATTTCCTCAAACGTACAATTAATGCTTTGTGTGCATGTAATTGAGGTACTAATGCTTGCATGGCGTCTGTAATGTGTTATTGGAACTGTACTGGACAACCAACCATGCATCTCATCACAGTGGGATAACCACTCTGTACTGCTTATTAGAGGTTAACCGATGGTGGACTTTACCGATAACGATAGCTAGGTTGGGCCGCACTTGCCGACACCACTGCAGAGGCATGTCACTTCTTTCAATGACAGGGTCTGACAAATAGCACTCAAGCTCACTTTCAAAGTTGTTCATGTTCATCCCCCAAGACACAGCTGTGGAACCATATACCCTGGCATACAGGGTATCCAGTAGTGGCCTGTGGCCTGATGGACAAGTGGCCTGATGGATTCTCTGCTTCTTTGTCTCTGGATCAAAACCCTCATCCTGCTCAGGTCCTTTTGGACCAGGCTTGGATCTTCTTCTCTGAGCTCACCAAGCTCTTCTTCAGCTTCCTCCTTTAGTCACAGTTTTCCTTTCTCAAGTGTTTCTTCAGACGCAAAGGCATCTGAAGAAACACTTGATAAGCCTTGTATGTAGGATCAAGGAGTGTTGCTAGGACTTTTGTCTATTCTGCCTTGGAAAACTGATTTGTCAGGATGTCAAGCATGGTCTTGCACAAAGTTTTGATCCCCACTGATGATGGACCCTCTGCCTGCAGCATCAGCTTCAGAACAGACACTGGGGATAATGTATCCTGCTGAAGACTTAGTTGCTCATCTCCATTGTGAATTCTTCGATGGGAACCAGCGTGTCAATAAGGTTACTGACAATGTCCCACTGTGTGGCAGATAAGCCACTGATATGCCCATGTTCACCAACGTACACATTCAGTATCTGTCTCTGTTCATACATTTATATAATATGATTAAATAAATAAGTCAATTCATTTATTTATTTTTTTGAGCATATGAAGTTCCATCAAGTCGGAACAGCCTGGATGTAGTGCTTTGGCGACACCCAGCTCCTCCTGAATGGTTCTTAGCCTATGTCTTAGCCAATACAGAGTGGCCGAAGTGAGTTGCACAGCTTTTTAATATGGCAATAATGTAGAGGACAGCTATTTGACAAGATAGGATATCATTGATAATGAGCTGAAGGGTGTGAGCAGTGCAGCTTAAATCAGGAAGTTCAGTCAGTTTTATTCCTTTTAGCATTTTTGGTCCCTCAGGACAAGAACAACATGATCTGTTGCAATATCCCAGTCTTCTAATATGTTCAGGAAGGTTTCTTGAATATAACTGGCTGTGTGTGATCCAGTCATGAGCTTGACATTTAGCACCACTTGCTTTCTAGACCAGTCCTCAGAAATGAAATGCCCAGTTATGCTCATCAGGGACTCTGTAGTTTCAGACCAACAGTCTTTTGTGAAGGCCATGAATGGGGCCTTGTCCTTTGTCACTACACTTTTCTCTTTTGTCAAAACTCTGGAATATATTTCAAGCATTTTTTTTTCTGTAGAACTTTGCATTTTTTAATCCAGTACCTGGGTTCAATGAGGGACATAAGCCTCTTAAATCCAAGGTCTGAAACCACTGAAAATGGTTGATTGTTTTGTTAGTGGCAATCATTTCAGTGACTGCGGCATCAATTTTGATAGACCTTGGATTTTCCTCTAGCCTCTTCATGGACTTTTGGATGTATGTGCTATCACATCAAAATGCCCCAGATGTTGCAAGTTTTGAGCGATTGTGAAATTGGCATGGTGTCTGCAGGAATGTCCACCAGAGCAGTTGGCCGTGAATTGAATGTTCATTTCTCTATCATAAGCCGCCTCCAAAGGCGTTTCAGAGAATTTGGCAGTACATCCAACTGGCCTCACACCTGCAGACCACGTTTAACCACACCAGCACAGGACCTCCACATATGATATGGACAATGAACATGCATTTCATTGATGGCATTCTGAATGCACTGAGATACTGTGACAATATCCTGAGGCCCATTGTTGTGCCACTGATAATGCATGGTCCCATGTTGCTAGCCTGGTTTAACCAGACTCTAGTTCATTTCATTTCCACATAGAGTCTGGAACCGCTCCATTGAGAAACGTTTCCTTCCTTGTAGGCGGGTTCACTATTAAAGTTCAAATCTATTGGATCTGCCCAAAGTCACTCACGATCTGCCCTAGCCAATCGCTAACGGGGTGTCGTGAGTGACGTATGTCACGCGCCGAAGAGGATTATGTTTACAATATGATTTCAGTCAACGAGCGCCGCAGGTTTTGTTAATCTAGGAACAATTATTAATTCGAAATGTATATTTGACACGAAGGACAGTGATATATACATCCAACGGACGAAGCTGTGTCTAATCATTACAAATACGCCGCTGTGGTCGTTTTCTGATCTACCGCAAATGCTGTAGCTGCTACAGTGAATGATCAGTCTGTCTCTATCTGCAGATGTGTAATAAACAACAATTTTTCATATTACGTCTTATTGTTTCTTAATTACCTTAATTATGGTCTTCAAAGTATGTGTTTGTACATTTTTATATGGCATTTAGTTTTTTTAGTAAAACAAATCAACCATTGCCATCTAAAACTGAAAATCAAATATCTTCAAAGTATGGTTTTTCACATTTTTATTTATGACAATTATTTTTTTTAAATCACAACCAATTTGTATGATTTACAACATGTAAAACTGACACACCAACCTCCTGCACGAGTGCACAAAGGGGCTCAAAATGTTCTATTCATCACAAGAATCAGTAAATATACAGTTGGGAATATGAGCGACTGACATGACTCCTGAGCGGATCTTCAACCATAGTTTAGCAGCCAGGACTCGGGGCTTCCGAACACCAGGCTAAACCGTCCGTCCAAAATGTCACGGTCATCGTGCACTAGCTGCCCAGCACAAACTTCCAACCTTTCTGCCTCCTTCACTTGGTCCTCAGTTGTGCAACAAGAGGTGAGACGATAACAATCCGGCTTTAAATTCTGTATATTCGGCAGTTTCTTTTCCAACAACGGACCGAATAGCTTTCCTCGCGTCTTTCTCCGCTGCCATTACTGAATTGAAACTGACGCGCTTACATCAACGTCATCTTTCTCAGCCACTCCCTCTATTCGCTGATTGGTCCTACAAAAAATTGATTTCTGGAAACCTAAGGATATGGAGCGATCCCAGACGTAGTACTGAAGTAAAATGAAATTGAGCGGAAGTGCGTAGGAGGGCGCAGCCAGGCTACCATGTTGCAAGGATCTGTACATAATTCCTGTAAGCTGAAAACATCCCAGTTCTTGCATGGCCAGCATACTCACCAGACATGTCACCCTTGAGCATGTTTGGGATGCTCTGGATTGGCACATTCGACGGCGTGTTCCACGTCCTGCCAATATCCAAATACTTCGCACAGCCATTGAAGAGGAGTGGACCAACATTCTACAGGCCCCAGTTAACAACCTGATTGGCTCTATGTGATGGAGATGTGTTGCACTGCGTGAGGCAAATGGTCACACCAGATACTGACTGTTTTTTTGGTTGTTATATGCAGTGAAGATAATCAATGTACCCGTTGGCCAAACCACATTTGTGTGGCTATTAAAGTTGCTATATTGAACTTTTCTTCTAAAATTAATCTTTTTTTTTTATTGCCTGTGTGTGAAGGGGTTGTAATCGCACATTACAATGATCCACTTGTCGGGTTTTGCTATTATCTCTGAAGGCCAGTATTCCTATTTCAATGTGAAGTCTCCAGGTCGGATATTCTGCAAAATCCACTGGATGTGACGTGCATGCACACTCCCGAGCCTCTCTCCTTTTTATATACGGTCTATGTGATGGCACTGCAGCTAACAACATGGAGTCTTATAACACCAAAAAACTACCTGCCTCCAACACAACACAGACTTCAACACAAACTGTTGGCTGAAATTGTTCAGTCTAGTTCACTAACCGTTTTCGTTATCATATTATATATTCATCTATGTTGACATTGCTGCCTGATTGTGAAAGATACGCAAATAGTTAGTAAAATGCCTTATGCTAGACCACATGCCGGCTGAATGTAGTCAATGTAATGTTATCATGGTACGAGAATGGAGCATTAGTTCAACGGCAAGCTGATAAAAGTATCCTATTATTGTAACGTTGCAGTGGAAGTTTACATGAGTTTCCAAAATATTGTTTGTGTGACGCTTTCTCCAGTGTGTTGAAAGTCTCAGTGTGGCCGGTACCATGAGTGCTCGCTCTTGTGTACGAGCAAGACCACAAGGGTTCTTGTAAAAATTGGTTGCAATCTGAAACATCACCGATAGATGTCGCTAAAAAATGCATATTGCACCTTTTATTGTTTACGTTTTTTTTAATGAAAATTAAGAGACATATTTGTGTTGAACACATTTCGTTTTGTTGCCTAAAATAAACAAAGAGATTAACATACGAGAAAATAAACATACCGGAGTAGCCAGAGCAAACTGAGTGACACTATCAAGAACGCTGCTGTTCCATTTGCAGAATTGAGTAGAACTTGGCAAGTCCGAAGTTTACTTGGTATTGAGAAATTGCCATTGATTAGCTTGATCAGGTGTGTTTTATTAAGTTTAGAGCTCAATTTTGTAGGAAAGTGGATCTTGAGGGCAAAAGTTGAGAACTCCAGGTTCAGACTATAAAGGAGAGGAATAGTAGAAGAATAGGGTAGATCTGGAAGAAAGAACCCGAATTCTTGTTCATCTCTGGTCATTGGAGAGATGCAACTGTTTGACTCCATTTCCACACAAGAACAATAACAGGAGAGGGACATGTAGGATTGAGCAGGCATTGGGGCTGGAGGTGAGTGATGTTGGTGTTGGTATTAAATGATGAATGCAATCTATGATGACAAT